AGCGCGCAGAGAGCTGACCGGTCGTCAGTAACGTGGGAAACGCTCATCTCTGCGTGTGCGAGCCTCGGGGTGGTTTCAGCTCGCTCGGCAGGCGGTACAGAGTCCAGAGTGGCAAGAAATCTTTTCTGATTTACTCAAAAAGCTGTCGATGGCGATGGCCAGGGTGCGCCAAAGCAAAGGTAGACAAAAGCGCAGCGATTCTTGCCGTGCTGAGTAATACAAGTTAAAGCACCACTGAAGAGGAGGGTCGAAGCTAAGGTCTGGGTCCTCAACCCCTAAGTATATAGCGCTTTATTCTTCACACTGATAGTAGGGACTGATTGTGCACGCGTTGGTAGGTCCTTCATAGCCGCGAGCTCCGGGCTCAAATTTATGGCGGAAGCTGCGTATAAAAAAGGACATAACGTGTTGAGCCCAGGCACACCAGCTCCGGACAGCTTCTGCTTAACGTTCTAAGCGGACTGTGCCTTCTGTCAGCAGTCGGTTCGGATGAGCCGCCTGTGGCCATGTCGGTTGTAGCTACAAACAGTGTCGCGGCCTTTCGTCGCTCGCCAAGGCGCCTAACAGCCCCGTGTGAGTATGCAAACCGCCCATACGGCTGCATGCTGCTGCTGTACTATCAGCGCAGACCAGGGGCGTAGGAGCCTATGGGGCCGGGGGGTCCATGGCCCCCCCAATTTTCAGGGTTGGGGGGGCCGGCCCCCCAACTTTTGGGCCGGTACAGTTACGAAATTTAACCCTTAAACCACAGAGCAGGAGCGCATGCTAAGGTGCCGACACAGCACCTCACACGCTAGTTTTTTGTTTAATACACACTTTATAGTAATTTTAATTTATTTGAGTTACTAGTTCCTATTGTTTTTATTTAATTGATAAATAAATCATTATTTATGCATTGAACATCATAGAAGTGTTTCTTTTTTACACTTATGTATTGTATACGCAAAATAAAATAATACATGCTATTTTATCCCAGCGGACTGGGAAAACCACCCCTGCAAGGTAGGCAACCCACACGGCGTGCCCCCCCAATATTCAGGACCTTCCTACGCCCCTGGCGCAGACATTGAACCCCTCTGGCGTTCATCATCAGAAAGTGTTCAATTCTTTCTGCGCCGATAGTATAGACACTGCTACGAAATGTTCCGGGGTCAGAGGGCAGCCAACTGCCTAGCACCGGTACCGGTGTCATTTGGCAGAGCCTGTTCACAGCTTCGCCAGACCTCTCACTTGGTTCTCAAAAAGCGCCCCTCCCCCACCCCCGCCCAGGTGGAATAGGATGAGTCGTCGCAACCGTGCCAGTCGGTTGTTTGAATCTCCATCAAGTGTCTTGGGTCCGATTCAGAGGAAGACGCGTCGGGTTTTATTCAAAGACAGAGTAGGTTTAACAACAATTTTTATTTAACCAACAGGCTCCCTACATTACATATTTTGCATTTTTTGTTGCATTAAGACCAAGTTTGCTTACGTTTTCCACTTGCTTTGGGTCAAAGTGGCTTTTTACAATGTCCTAGTCTACATTCTAAACTTTTAATCATGTACGAGGAAAATTAACCATAAACATCAGTTGGGACAACAACGGTAGAAATATTATGGGCGTACAGTACTTTTCTAGCAATCGTCATAGGGTAGCCTTGCAAAAACGAAAACTTCGTCATTCGCGCAGCATCAACCGCGATGAACCGTCACGATTTCTCGCGACGCCAATATAATAAACGATGATACTGACCCACTGCAAACCCTGTTTGGAAAACACTACAGCGCATATCACAGCAATATTTTCAAAATCATTTTCCAGATTTAATGGGATAAAATTTAGTGTTAAACAAATGAATAACACGGGCGGGAGACTGAAAAGCACACTACAAATATTTCTTTAGAAAGGACACCCAAAATATACATATAATAGCAGATCATGTAAAATTTTAGTAGTAAGTTCTGTGGGCGTTAACACAATTAAACGCTCTGGGCACCTTTACAAAGAGTAAGTATCGGTTGCAGACTGATTTTTTTCTTAACAGGAGTCTGAAATGGTCATTTAAAACTGTTGTATTCATATAGGAGTATCCGGTTGATTACAATAAGCCAAAACACTCAGGCATCCATTAAGCTTCCCCTAATGGGTTTAAAACGACAGTATCTGCCCTAATATTGTTAGATTTATGAATCGGCACAAGTGGAAAAGAAAGTCAGGGCAGTATAGAATTCGGAACAAACAGATAGGGAGCATACAACAAATCATTTCAATATATTCATTCATATATCAACAATTAATAATTTTATTCTAACTTACGAATGTGAACAATACGTTTAAAAGACACGTGGAGACAACCGCCGAAATACACATCGTATTTATCACGACTATCATTAGCGACATGTACACATATCGGAATATACAATTTAAAATTTACATCACTAAAATGGGAATTTAGGTTAAGACCTCCACCTTTCTGGTTTATTGGGATGAGCAACGGGGTCGTCTTCGTCATCAGTTTTGTACTACTATGAGTGAAATTTTGACAACATTGGTTTAAGCCTTTAAAATGACAGGCACTAATAACACACCACCTAGCACCACCTGCGCTTGCATATTCGAGAGAAAATTTTGGTTGCGTTATAGAAGGCTTACTGACAAGTAAATTAAAATTGTTAGTGTTTCATACCAGGATTCCGGAAAGAAAGGAAGGGATTGTGGTGTACACATAACAGACACAAGAAAAGAACTCGTGAAAAAGATGAAGAGACAGGAGAGTTGACTGCATGTCTTGAAAAGTTTCTGTCCGCCAAGTATTAAGGTGAGAGGGTATCCAACCGTGTCTCTTATACTGCTACGACCTACACTTCTTCACTCTATGTGATTGCTAAAATTTACGGCTTATTGTATCTTGCGAGCACGCGGCTAAGGCATTTCCATGCAGAAATTATTATGCATATCGCAATGATGTCTAGCAACCTAGTTCTGCATATCGTAAATCGAGGTGATTTGGCCAGGGAAAGTCTCCATAAACAGGAAATTTTCCCAGGCCGTGTGAATATCTTCAGGAGATGTGGACTGTGGATTCACCTCAGGTGCGGCACCGAGCCTCTTTCTCCATTGCGACATACATAAATAAATACGTTGAATAAATAATATAACAAATGGGCTGTGTTCTTACATCAATGTGAAAATAAATACACAAAAATATTTACATTGTGAATAAAAAATTGAAAAACAAATAGTTTAATGAAAACCAACATTTGAATACGATAGCAGGTTAACACAAAATTTGGAATGCTGATTTGATATACATAATTCTGAATTGACATCGTTCACGGGCAAAATAGGCTCAATTCGAGAAGCTGTTGAAACGGGTTTACCCGTAGCCGCCGCAGAGAAGACCCCGGTTAACCATAGTTGTCAGTCCCGTCAGTCAGTCGTTGTCACCGCAGTCAGAGAAGTAAAAGGAGTTATCTACATGATGGGCTTTTAAGTGGAGCATGCGATCACGTCATTATTAAGAGAAAGATAAGATTTAAAATAGATTAGAATTAGGCAATTTGCACAATTTAGCCAAGATAAGAAGCCCACAGTCGATCGAAGCGAAAGTATGAGGAGACAGGATTTGACAAAGAGAAGCCAAGAAATTCACGCCATGCTTGAGAGGACGAAATGTGAAATGATCATTTGGTGATAGTAATTTCATTAACCAGCGTAAAGAGCAATTTAAAAAATTGTTTCAGACAAGCGACTAAAAAAAATATTTAAAGTTTATTATTGCTTTTGGCACAGGTACCACAGTTTCCCCACGTTTGTGAAATTGCCGCACCTTGCTCTTGTATTATGCATTAGTTCACGGAAAGATTAATTTCTCTAAAATGTTTGCAACCATAAGGCCGGTGCAATAAGAAGGCGAACATCTGATCCGGATCCCGGTTGGAAATAGTATACATAAAAAACGACAGATTTCGAGGGACCGTATTGGCCCTTCGGTACAAAAGAAAATGGAATGGAGAAGTAACCTCAAGGCACTTTAACGTGGAAAAAAGACACAATCCACTTTATAGATGGAAGGTACGGCAGTGTCCCGGCCTGGCCCGCACTCGTGGCTGCCGATATCAGCAAGAGTCAGTCGGACAACTGTTAAATGCCCTATTTACTTTCTGAAATAAAATTATTCAGGAGAACAAATGTAAGGCACGCACAAAATTTTATTCCTTCGAGTGCCAGAAGAACAATATTTTCCGTTAAAATCAAGCCGAAGCACATAAAAGAGCGGGTTATGAGAATATCTTTTACAATCTTCCTCATCACGCCTTGAGCACTGCTTCCGTTTTTTTTTGCACCACGTTCCTGGTGGTACACCGACACATAGTGGCTCAAACTCACTTAGCTTAGCAGTCAATCTTTTCCTTAACCTACTAAATAAACAAAAATAATTGGCAATGAACTCAAACAGAATGATTGAGGTCACAACATTAAGAGTGGAAAACCACTTCTTATTGTAAACAAAGTTAAAAAAATTGGATCTCTGTAATCTGTAAAGGTACTTTTCCACCATTAATAAAACAATTAAAAGGAGCTATCCGAAATCCACTGTGACATGGTTCCCAATGCGATCAAAGAAAACTTTGAGAAAGTATGGGCAAAAATGTGAATGGATCCCGTCAGGAGACTTCTTTGAAATATTCAAATTATCATTGAAAACACGCAGACCGGTAAAATCCTTGCTCAACAAAAGAAACCCGAACAATCCTACACATTGACCATGCTATCAATCCTTTTTGTCAATTTACATGAAAATTTTACTTTGTCCTAAAATTTTATAACATTTAAAAAACAACATTTTAAGGTGTCTCATAAAAAAGCGGCCCTCTTAAAATGAATTATGTCTCCATTGTATGTTCCTGGGATGTTAGGAACACTCTTAGATCACGTCCTTTCTGAGGCTCTCATTTGCCGCCCCCTTTCCTCGCCTACCAGCAGTTTCCAGCACAAAACAAATGCGTATTACTCAACATAACATGTACTCGTTTTGAGCATTGAATACTTATGACACAACGAAACACTATGAAAATATTGGTTTGATATTTGAAAAATACATTTATAGAAACATGCTGCTTTACTACACGGGCTTTAATACCATTGCAGTTGTCTATTTTGCGCTGTTGCAAAAATTATGGTCACATATGGAAACAAAAATGAGACGCGGTGGATTTTGACACCGTTCGCATCACCACGATACATCTAGTATGCACCATCAATTCCAACCTATTGTAACATTAACAGCGTTAACGGTAAATCTTATACAAAAAGTGTACAAACATCATCTTTCTCTTAACAATTCTAATTTCTAACTTTTGTTGCGGAACGCACAACGAATGAAAAATTATATTTTATAATCAATACTAAACAAAAACAACAAAATTTTATCTCCACAGTTTCAACTTTTGAACACTTCATACGTTACGAACTAAATCGCGATAAACAATCAACGCATATCAAGTCAAAAGTTACAGTTCAAAAATTACTAATTTTAAAATAAAACTAAGTACGCTTCTCTGTTTTTTTAAATGTACGATAGTGAGGTGGTTTCTTATCAGTTGACATGAAAAAAAGGAGAGTGTTGCTGCTGATGATAGCAGCTCCATCCCTCTACGTTTTGACGATATTTGGTGGTTCTGGTTCGCACGGGGCTTCGTGGTTACGGTGTTCACTGAAGTGAGCATTTGCTTTCAATCTGCGACTTTAGTTCGTTCACTTGGGTTTCTATGGAGTTCTTCAATTCTGTAAACAAACATCAACACATTTATTAGTATGGTGACATCAGCAACACATGATTTGTCGAGCGACAATCTATTTCGGAAATATTAATTAAAGAGGGACATTTTCAAATGATGCAATACGGTGTGCCCTTTAATAATAGGCCCAGTACTTTTTTTTCTTAATTTGACTGCCACACGCGCGCGTGCGGCTTTGCCTACCCGGGCTCACCACTTGCGACTCGCGGCCCACACTCACACAATGCCGTGGTGCGACATGTTGCGGCTTGGTCCGCCCCCGAGGCCGCATGGCGCCTTATGGGTGGAGCGGGTAGGCAGAACCGAGACAATGTACAACAACGGAGAGCCTAGGCAACCCAACGGACTGTCTGCTGGGGCGTGAAACACCCAGTAAAATTTATCTCAACTCCATTTCAATTTAAGAAGTTTCGCGGGGCAATTTCCGAAATAAATTTTGAGCGCACGACATTTATAAAATTGACCATGTTGGTGGTAAGGTAGCCATACCGGGTGGCTGGTTACCCCCACGCACTTCTGTAGTTATACTGCACCACACGCAGGTGTGTGTGTGTGGGCCTTGCCTATCGCCCCTGAACACCGCAACTTACGGAACGAGCGATTAGGAACCCACCCATACGTAGAAATGCAGCACAGAATAACTACAAAAGTTTGTGGGTTTATAAGTCACCTGATATAATGTAAAATAAATATAAAAGCTCAAAAATGCCTAGGTAGCGAATATACAGCATTTGTTACAAAAAGCGTTTTTTTGTATAAGATAAGCCACGAATCGTTTAGATAAACAAAGCTGATACAGTATGTAATTTTTCTACGGAACGGAAGCAAAATGTACGCCATGTAAAGCTTCTAAGAAGAATGCTAGGCATAATTCACCACCACTCTGTTTTTACAAATTGCGATTGAAATGTGGGCAGAAAGGACGCAAGCCAAAGTCTTAGAGTTGATTAATGAATAGACTGTGCATATTCTTTAGATCGAGACGGTTCTTTCCACGCCACCCCTGAAATTAATGTCAAATATCCTACTACCCTAAGCATAATAACATCCTTTTCATATATCATTTTCAAACTGAAATGATTAACAACAATCTGCCTGCGCGTTATATGCAATATTGTAAAGCAACAAAAAATCCCATGGCAATGCACACGTTTTTTTTTTTTAAATAACGCAAATGTATAATTGACTACTACCTTGGATCTTATGCAAATTATATGTAGGAAAAATGTGCAAGAAGGTGACCGCAGACAAAAAGTAAGACCACAAATAATTTTCCTGTTGCCATTTTGACTTACAGAAAGGAAACAGGCTTCTCTCTCATTTTACTTTACCGCTCAGACCAATCCTCTGTGTTTCAATCTGTTTGTGTTCAAGTGTTTATTCCTGGGGATGATCGCGTAAACATGTTGTGGATAATGTAGTGGTAAAAGCGACTGAAAATATTATACAAGTACAATTATTAGACATTAGTATGATAGTCGCTGCCATATTGTAAATGGTTTCTTTTTAGCCAAAATAGACTTAAGTTTTTCTGTGCGACAGCAAAATTACTGGAAATTCATGCCGTGATCTCCATGTAATTAACATTTAAGAGTCATTTACAGTACCAACAGATTATAATTTAGCTCTGCACGAGTACGTGTTATTTTAGTCGAAATCAGTATCGCGTCATGAATTGCTATGTTAACGAAATTTTAAAAGAGCGTTTGGTGGGGTACTCCTAACGGGCGGACAGACCCACCCAGAACACAGACACACCGAGGTAAGAACATCTAGACAGAAAACAGAAGACGGATCATTCAAGTCCGTTAGGGAAATCTCGAGGATTCGCACACACCGCTCTGCGAGATTCCCATGGAAAAAGAACGGAATGATCCTTTGAAGAGTAGTAATTGATAGATAGAAGAATGAAGACTGATAGATATACATACATATACATACATTTAGATAGAACGAGAGATAGAGAGAATGAGAGAGAATTGTTATTTTGTGGTTCTTACTGCCGCGGCCCTGGCGGGGCTGGGACTCACTAGTGAAGTCATCTTGGTCCTCGGCCTCGGCTTCACGCGCTAGCTCTTCGGGGGTCTTCTTCTTGCGCATCAGGGGGTTGTCAGGCTCGGGGGGAGGCATCTCCTGAACTTCTTCCTTCTTCTTGATGTTGTACTGCAACACGAAAATCGAGGATTCTGTCACAAACATGGATATTGCAAAGCGAAGGTTTGCAAATGTTTCAAAATTAGGAACCAAATATACGCGCCGACCAAATTGTTCGAGTTAGAATAAACAAAATTTACTTTCATGCCAAATATCTAATTGTGACAAACTGGCTACGGCGCATAAATTCCAATGTCGCGGTGAAAATTAACCCAAAGACTGAAAGAGTATTACTTTCATGCGATTTACTTTGAAAATTCAGAATCGAGTTCAGAAGCACGTACTTCAGCAAAGACGATTGCAGTAGCGTGTTGACACACTTTTCGAAATCGAAATCAAGGAGTTTCATGCAGGCACACATATACGCGCACTACTGTTGCTATTTAACTAATATACCAAAGACGCAAGACCAAGGCATCAGCCAGATTCCAATTCTTAGAAGTCATACAATTTCAATACGTGAGCATACTCATCACTTTCTAGACACACAGTCAAGTCCTCAAAACACAACTGATGCTAGTTCCGTTCCCCCTCCCCCCTCCGCGCTTCCTGTGGGGCCGCCGCGCTGAGGCCCCGCCCGGGGTCAATCTGACTCCATTAGGGAGTCGCTTTCAATTTGAGACTCCCTACTAGAGTCAATTTGACCCAGAGGGGGGTTGTTTCGCCGAGGACGACGGTCACCTGGAGGGCGTTTCCGCTGAAAGAGCGCACATTTCCATCCACTGTTGGGCACTACTCGTATAGGGAGATGAGTCTCGCTCACTCTCACTCACTCACACACACACAGAACACGCACGCTGCACTGGCCTCACCTTGTCGCGGATCTCCTGTCTCATCTTCTCGCGCTCCTCCTCCATCTTGCGGTGCTTCTCCTTGCGGCGCTCTTCCGCCTCCCGGATGGCCTCCTGCCGTTCCCGCTCGGCCTCCTCCTCCTTTTCCTTGTCATCGCCGTCGCCGTCATCGCCGCCAACGGCACCTGCGACAGAGAAACGGCCGCGTTAGCAGGCTCGAGGAGAGAGACGGCGGTTCGAAGGGTGCGTCACCCCAAAAAAACAATTACAAAAAACAAAACAGTTTACACCCTCCTAAAAAATAAGAAAAAGGGGAACAAGGAAAATCAAGAAAACACAGAAATTTATGTACGCTTGATTTTATAGTGAAGGTACCGCTCGCAGTAACCACCATAATGAACACCAACAGTTTCGCCTGTTCCACTCAGTAGTAGGGCAGGCTGCAGCTGAGCTGAGCACCCTCTGGCCCCACTCACCACCCCTCCGCTCAAGCGCTCACTATCTTTTCCCACACTCCTTCGTCGGTGGTCCAAGCCAAGCTGAGTCGCGCCCGAGCCGAGCTCGGCAGGCACCAGGAAAAAGGAACCCACTCTAAATTGCCTCACTCAATTTTGGCATTCCGAGTGTCGACAATAGCGCCTGGAATCGAATTCATTAGGGTGTAAGGGGGAGGGGGAGGAAGGGTTGTTGGAGGGTACGGAGCACGGGGCCGAGCCCCCACTGTCACCCATCACCCCGGCCCCAGCCGGCGCACAGGTGCAGTTTCATCCCCGAGGGGGCCTCGTGGGTTCGTGGCTGTGCTGTACCTCCACCCTCCACCCGCCCAGCCACCCCTCGTCCACTTCCGCCTCCGCGTCCTCAAAACGCCCCAACCCCCGCCCCCTCTCGCATTTCTTTCCCGCCCCGCGAAAAGTGCTCTCTCAATTTTTAATTGTGTTGAGGAAAAACACGACGGTATGGCGCGCGAGGCTGGGCCGCGACAAGAGGGAATTGCGCGCAGTTGTGCCCTCACCGCGGCGTAAACAGATAGTTATATTCTACACACTGAATTACCACTATTACTTAACGTTATGATTACGTAATCTACTAGTTAACGTTTAGTATTGCTAGGAAAACATTTGGTGTCTAATGGACTTTAAATTTAGACGTTTGGTAGAGTGAGATTAAGGCACAAAACATCTTTTTTCACAGCAGGCAACCGCTGTACCACCCTCTCGCCTACCACCACACCACACCCTACTCCTCTTTGTCCTTCTCCACTCGCATTGTTATCCACTTCCCACGACAGCCTATTCACCACACGACATTCCCCACCCCAACACCCCCGCCACTCTCCTCTGCTCGTCCTGTGAAGAGTCCTGCCACCCTCCCTCCCTACTACCCCCCTTCTCTCTCTTCCCCACTTCCTCCCTCTCATTTCCGCCTTGCGCTGCTGTGATCCCCCCCTCTCCGGCGGGCTTGACCTGACCTAGGTAGACATGCTGACTGTACTTATGAGGCGAGAGGGACGCGAAGGGGGCAAAAACGTGAGCGGAATTTCCCTCCTGGGTCCCGTCGCCCGGCAAAAAGGTGGTGGCGTCCGTTGCGTCGTGAACGGTTGGCGGAACCGTCGCAATAACCAGTTCCTGCTATGTCAGCAGCACTCCCCAGGCGGAGCTCTATGCTGTCCGAAATGCGGGTCGAGAAAGAGTAGTAAAGAAAACATCCGATGATACACAATCGTTTTTGTGTTTTTTCTCTCTACGTATTGAAGTTTAGGGCTGAGAGAAGAAGCAGCTTGTATGCCGCTAAGATAAAGTAACCGCCCCATAACAAAACAAACAAACACAAAATAAATTGAAAAGTTCCGACCAGAAACGGATCGTGAAAGCAGATGATACCTTGTCAGGAATTATTCTATTCCAGTCTATTACAGTTCTGTATTTAGGAGGGGACTTGCGGGGGCTCCCCAGCGGTGAAAGGGGGCTCTGGGGTGCCGCGCCCGCGCGCAGCCGACTCGGGACTCGGGCCTCCGGCTCGGCTCAACTACGCGGGGCTGCGAGGCTTGGCCCCGGCCGACGCAGCTTGGCGCTCCGACTCGTCTCGTCTCGGCCGTGCGGCGACGGGACACCGCCTCACCAGCCCCCCTAGCACAATATGACAGATGGCTGGCCCTGCTCTCGCTACTCTGTCCTTACGGAGCCGATGATACCTTTCTTTACTAATGTATAGTTATGTTTAGTTTTAGTGTAAGGTATCATCTGCTAAAAATACGGAGATGCATTTCTTACTGACTCTCGTCGCCGTCACCGTGAACAAGTGGGCGCCCAGGAAGGGATCAGGTCGCGGACGCCGCCCGGCGGCCGCGGGGCAGGCAGGCCCGTCGGCCACGGCTGCCTGGCGCGTTGCCTACCCTGCGGCCGCCGGGCGCCATGCGACGCCAGGCCTGGCTGACGCTGCTGACGCGAAGGCGGTCTTGTTGTACAACACAAATTACCGGAAACGCAAGCGTGTGAATGTCACACACTTCTATAGGTATAAGTGTACTTCTGTTCGTGCACTTAAGGGAGTAAAAGTGTGAATTTGCAAAGAAAATTTTTCTTCTTTGAAAATTTACACACTGCTTGTGTTTGAATGATGTTCACACACGTACAAGAGTGCGACATTCACTCATTGGGGTTTCTGGTGTTGTCATCATTATGGGACCCTTCCATAATTTGCCTCCGTCGACGTCGTGACACAGGAGAGTTTGCTCGCAAAGAGACCACGATGAAATGATGATGGTAAAAAAAATCCGCGCCACCGTTGGCTCCATTCCGCATCGCTTAAACGGGCGACGAGAAGGGTAAATAGTTTCAAAGAGTTGTCCCTTTTGTCACGGCCAAGCGTCCCTTTTATTGCCAAAGTCAGCAGCCGGGGCGCGCGCGGCTTTCTCTTTACAGAGAAAAAGTATTACCCCCTCCCCCCTACCCCCCGAAAAATCTTATGGCTGCGTTCCAGCTTGCGGGGGCATACATAACTCGGTGGGAGAAGCAGCAACCCGCTGGCCTGGTTGGAAAAGGGGTTGGGGAGGGGGGGGGGGGGTTAGCAGGAAGGATGGGCGGTGCCATCGCACATGGTGCCTCTCGGAATGCCAAAGCTTTGTGTGGCCGCGCCGCCGGGCCACGCCGGCCTTGCGCACACAGGGCGCCTGCCCCCTCCCCGCCCCGGGCCGAGCAAGGTACCGAGACCTTTCGAGCTGCACATACATTACGTCACGGGGTGGCCCTTACAAAAATAATCAGTACCCAAACAGTCCCCAAACGGTCTCATTCAGTCCCCAAACAGGACCCATTCAGTACGTTCGCTGTGAGACTAGTGCGCTACCCGGTCCGTTGTGCTGTGGGACTAGTGCGCTTGGCGGTCTCCCAGACGAGACCAGTGCGCGTTATTGTACGCTCGATCAGCGCCCTAGGACCCACGCGGTACCCTTCCCGGGCGCACTAGTCCCCAAAGAGTGACCGTCCCGCGCGCACTAGGGCGCGTTTAGTACTCATCGGAGGGGACTAGGGCGCAA